TCTTTGAGCTATTGTCTCCTTAGCTAAATGATAGATGTTTATTCCTCACAGTCTTGGCTGTAATCGCCCTATTTTCCACAATTACAAAAGTTTCCTCTTTCTAGAATCGTCTGGGAGGAGCTTTTATTCCATATAGGTTTTAATCTACAATTTTTCGATTAATAGCTTGTTGTTCGTTATTCCACCCATTTCTCTGATTATTATTTCGAACTGAGCCTGGTATTACTCCCATGATTCTTTTCCATCATAGTTCGTTTGGCTTATCGATTGGGTAACTTTGAATTGGTCAGCTAAGTTCTGGAACTTTATCTGGTAGTAATAAACGGGCCTGGCATGGTCTGGTGATTAGAGAACTCGACTAGCAATCTGTGGGTTGCGAGTCTGAATCCTGTCACCGAGTATACTTGCCTTTTCAGCCATGAGGTTGTTATACTGTGATGGTAAATCCCACTTTTTGTTGGCAAAAGAGTAGTCAAAAAGTTGCTTTGTGTGAAATTCAATAAACAATAACAGGTGGCATAGGAGTAGTAATAGTAGGTATAGACCAAATAAGTTCTATTACATGTTTATATTAAATAGTGTTTTTGGTTGGAACTCTTGAGCCAGTGCAGAAAGAGGTATGATGGGTCTAACCTTTACATTTAATGATTGATTTTCCAGATATTTTATTCTGTAACTGATGTTCTTTTCTGGGCATCATTTCAAACAGTTGAAATTCAGCTTTAATTATATCCAAAGTTGTATTTTCACCAAATTAATCCCAGTTCTAATACTAGTTGTAATAATGTTGTTCTTTTGTTGAGTGGGTTCTTTTAAATTTTAGGGTCTAAATAATTTCAAGTCCACTCTGTGTAACAATGAGGAATTTACTTATTTATTTCTTAATGTTCCAATAAGTTAAATACTTTTACAACGCCCGTAAATTGTTATAGGTCTGCATTATAAATGACGATCAAACTTAATATACTTACATAAACAAAATCAACTTATTTTAGAAAGTAGCTCAATATTCGCTAAAAACAAATTACAACATTAAAAATATAGCTTATAACACTGCTCTTTTCCGAGATTTTGAAGTCCCTTGAATAACCTTCCTCCAAAAAATTAAAACACCACATCAAGTCCTTTTAGTGGTTTTCTCTTCTGAAACCTGTGTTATACAGATGAGATTTTTTTTTATATTCCTTGTTTTCGCTCATCATATTGTTACGACAGCGGAGGTCACGTGACGCTAGTAACACGTCATGCACTTCTAGAACGTTCATGAAACCTCGGGAGGTTGCTAGATTTCGGTATTCTTGTACATATAAGACCGGCCAAGAAGCGACGACAACAATGTAATGAGTAATTGACAAATTAGTCGAGCACGTGAGACGTTCGTTGAGAATTATAGCGTTTGTTATAGCGCGATTGTGGAAATTAAGTGTATCGCAAAGTTGTATTCAGAAAGAATAAACCAGTTTTATTTAAGAAAGGACTTGTATCGCTAAAGTTTCTTCGGAAAGAATTTTTATGGAAAATTAACTAACGACCAGAGACGTAACAATATTCTCACTCTAGGAGTTATTCCTGGATTGATGATCAAGTTAATTCACTAACAGTTCCATTGTTGATGATTCTCTAGATGTAATCTCTTCAGGAACTACAATCTCTTCTCTAAGCTTGAGGTTCTGCTCTTGAGTTATCCCGTTGCTCATTCTCTCTCTCTGATGTTTTTCCAAAGATAATCACAAACATCGAGAGGTACCAACAAATCACAACATGCCAATAGGTGAGAGCTATGACAGGGAAAAAAAAAAGTCCTACGAGACATTAGGTGTAGTAGTGAAGCAGTGAGAACCAGTCTAGTATCTGATGATTAGATGACAAGCAAGGTGTTTTTGTTTGTACTGATTGATGGGATAGTGAGAAAGTTTATCATAGACAAAATAAAGGTAGATACTCCTTACTACATGGGAGACCTTGAAGCCTTATGAAAATAATCATTATATATTAAATCCCTAAATTATTTCAAAATCAATACTTGTGACAAGTTTCGTTATGTAACTTTGTACGAGTTCGTTTTGTATGTAGATTAATTGTTGTACTAAGCTTTTGTAATATTCTTGACGTCATCCTATTCAAAGCTTCTAAGGTTTTCTCGTTATGTGTAATATTGTTGTTATTAGAGGGCTAGATATTTCTGGATTTTTCTGTCGCATGTACATAGAGAAAGTTAGTGAAAGTGAAGACAGACTGCGTTATTATCAGTGTAGCCATAATGGGTGATTTATAAAGTGAAAGTTTCACAGTTTATATTGTAATAACAGAGATATAGAATAATAATTTGTTCTGTCATAGGGTATTCTAAAGTAATTGAACCCGCCTGTACAGACTTTAATGAAAAGGAGACAATTATTTATAACTCTGGATACAACTGTGGTAACCAACCATTATAGTGGTGATTTTGTAGTGAGTTTCACAGCTTGTATTGAAACAACAGATATGCAGAAGAATAATACGTCTTGTCAGTTGGGTTCTAAAGTAATTTAACCAGCCTATGTGGACTTTTGACTACAAAGAGAAGTAATTAAACCAGTAGATTTAACTCTGATATACAATAGTGTAACGAATTTTTGTACATAAGTTTGAATATATATATTATTGTTGCGTCATCGAGGTCACGTGACTGGTGTGGCGCCCTCTAGTTTCTAGAACTATCTTGTTCTTTCAGGAATGCTCTAGTATTTGCTAGATAGGGTAGGCTGGTATATAAAAGAGGGGAATGTAATGTGTGTGTAGACAGTGAGTAATTGATCTGCAGTCAGAAGTATTATTGACGTTCGTTGATATAGCGTTGTTTAGCGCGATTGTTGAAGTTGAGTGTATTGGTAAAGTTGTATTCGGAAATAATAAACCAGTTTTTATTGAGAAAGAACTTGTGTCGCTTAAGTTTCGTCGGAACGAAGTTATGGAAAATCAATTAACAAACGGAGACGTAACATTATTTTAAAACAAGTGGATTGTGTGCGGTCTGTTTATCACTGAAATTTATCTTCAACAAATCACAGACATCTATTGTAAAGATTTCAGCCCAATAAAAACTTGATACTCAATATGTTTTCACTAAGGGAAAATCTTGCATTCTTTGCTAGTTTTTTTTTTTTTTTGAATTTCGCACAAAGCTACACAAGGGCTATCTGCGCTAGCCGTCCCTAATTTAGCAGTGTAAGACTAGAGGGAAGGCAGCTAGTCATCACCACCCACCGCCAACTCTTCTACCAACGAATAGTGGGATTGACCGTCACATTATAATGCCCCCACGGCTGAAAGGGCGAGCATGTTCGGTGTGACGGGGATTCGAACCTGCGACCCTCAGATTGCAAGTCTAGCGCCTTAACCACCTGGCCATGCCGGGCCTGCATTCTTTAAAAAGGTTACTGCTTATGTAGATTTGGTGAATCTGGATTTTCAGAAAGCCTTTGACAAGGTGCCACATAAATGGCTTGTAAAAAAATTATCTCTATAGGTGCAGGGGATAAATTAGCTAATCGGATAAAAAGAGTGGCTAGATGGAAGAAAGCTGAGGGTTGTTATAAATGGAGTTCAGTCAAACTGGATTAATGTAACAAGTGAGATACCTACGGGCTCAGTCTTTGGACCTTTGCTCTGTTTGATTTAATCAATGATATAGATTAAGGAATGATCAATAAATTACTTAAATTCCTGATGATATTAAGGTCTTGGTTGTTGCTAGCTATGAAAAGGATGCTGCTGATTTACAAAAGGATTTAGA